CAGCAGCAGCCGTCTGCGCTCCGTCACCTTCTCAGTCTCCCGCCTGCTGTTACTGAGGTCCCTGTTGCTGGCACTACTCCTCCGTTACTGTTCCCACCGCCTGGCCAGTCTCAGCCACAGTTACTGCCTCACTCTCCACTGCCTGCTCCTGCTCCTTCCACTGTGGTGACAGAGTCCCTCACTGAGAGTAGAGAGTCTGCGTCGCGTCCTTTCACGGCTGTCCGTACTCGTCGTGCTGCCCGTCCTCGTCCTCCACCTGTCCCAGGCACGCACATCATGGCACTTCGTCCTTCCTCTGTTGCACAGTGTGTCGTCCTGCCGTCGCCTCCTGCGTCTTCTGTTCCTCTCGTTCCTGACCCTGAGTCTGACCCTGAGTGCAGCTCGTAGTCACGCTGTGCTGCAATGTGCAGTAACACCCGAAGAGTGGTCATCTTCGGGGGGGGTGAGAAGGTCTAGAAGAATTCGACCCCCTCACGCTGACTGAAGCATCGTGCAACGTAACGCGCCTTGAAGGCAGGCGGAGAACCCGGCAGCTGCTTCACTCCGAAAATCCACATGCCTTCGACTATGTTCGCCCCAGGTGGGGGAACTGCGTCGACGTAGGTGCATGTGAACTTCCAGGAAGCCATCTCTGCGTCCATGGCTATCGGCCACTGAGAGGAGTATGGGCCCGTGATCGAGTCTGCGTAAGAGCGCGGGGTCGGGATGTCTAGTGCATCTGGGTCTCCCTCAGGGCAAAGTAGCATGGTAGCGAGATGAGGTGCAGCAGCCGCTAGGCACTCCAGCTCAAAATGCCTATCCTCGAGGACGTCACAGCCAAGGGCAAGCTCACCCCTGACGGACGGAGGACACTCACAGTCAAAAATAAGACTCGCAGCGTAGTCAAGGCGGCACAGAGCAGCAAAGTCAACGAGCTCATCGACTAAGGCAGACGCAACAGCCGACGAAAACGTAGGGTCAGTCACAGCCGTGGCAAGAAGTCGAGTGACAGTCGGACTGACAGCATGAAACAAGGTCAGACTCAGGGTCAGGAACGTGAGGAAGAGAAGACGCAGGAGGCGACGGCAGGACAACACGCTGTGGAACAGAGGAAGGACGAAGTGCCATAGTGTGAGTGGCGGGGACAGGTGGAGGGCAAACACAAGGAGCATGACGAGTACGAACAGGCGTGACATGACGCGGTGCAGGCTCTCTACTCTCAGTCAGGGACTTTGTCACCATAGTGTAAGGAGCAGGAGCAGGCAGCGGGGAGTCAGGCGGTAACAGTGGTTGAGACGGGTCAGCCGGTGGAAACAATAACGAATGAGTTGTACCAGCAACTGGGAACTCAGCAACAACAGGCGAGAGGCTGAGAAGGTGACGAAGCGAGGACGGGTGCTGCTGAGTAGTCGCACCCCAAGAACCTCCGGCTCCATTAGTAGCACCTCCAGCACCAGTAGTAACAGCACCCCCTACACCAGCATCTCCAGCTCCACCAGTGGGGCTGCCCCAGTGGACAGCCCACTCGCGAAGCTGCTGTTGCGAGAGAGACTCCTGCCTACTAGCACCAGGACCTCCAGCATCAGTACCTCCAGTACCTCCAACTCCAGGACCTCCAGAAGTAGCACCTCCAGTGGCAGTACCTCCAGCACCAGGACCTCCAGCAACTCCAACTCCAGGACCTCCAGCACCAGCACCTCCAACACCAGCACCTCTAGGACTAGCACCTCCAGCTCCGCCACCGGGGCTGCCCCACCGGACAGCCCACGCACGAAGCTGCTGCGGCGAGAGAGTCTCCTGTCGACTCGGCTGCCACGGACGTCCACTCCCAGAGGCTCCAGCAGGAGTACCCACAACCCGACCACCAGTAGGAATCTCAGCACCCCCAGAACCAGCACCCTAGGGTCAGCACCCCCAGTGTCACCACCTCCTGCATCACCAGAGTCCACATCGACTGGCTGCAGGGGCAGTGAAGACGGTCGAGGCGGAAACCCAGGAGGGGTCTCCAAGCGCGGGGAGCGGCGAGTGGCCGCTGTGTCGTCAGCAGCGGGGTCACCCCCCTCACCTGGGCCAGAAGTGTCGGAGGAAACCTCCAACGGCGCAACCAAGGGGGTTGGGTCAACCTAGGACACACCTGAGGGATGAGGACCCTGAGGGCGGAGGGGGGCTACCGGGGGGGGGTCGGGAACCAGGAAGAGAGGTGGGAGGGGTACCGGGGAACTGCGGTGGGGGTGAAGACGGTAGAAGCAGACAGACTCGTCAAAAGTGACGTCGCGGGAGGACAGCACACGACGAGAGCCCTTGTGGTAAAACTGCCAGGGCGGTGCGTCGGTGGGAAAGCCAAGGAACACGCACCGAAGAGTGCGCGGAGAGAGCTTGGCCGCGGGCGGATCGCAGACAAGAGAGAGAGAACCCCAGACCCGAAACGCCGACACATCACCAACCTCTCCCGTCCACCGCAGAGTAGGGGAGGTCTCCGGGTGGGAGGCACGGGGCCAGAGGTTGAGCTGGTGCGCGAGGTATCGGACCGCAAACGGCCACAGAAAATGGGGAGCAGCCGCATGGATCATGGAGGTGCGAGCAACCTCCATGACCAAGCCAATGCGGCGCTCTACCATCCCATTATGCTGTGGAGAGGCCGGAAGCGTGAACGACTGGGTGATGCCCCCAGCACCACTGAAGTCCTCGAGGAGGCGGGAGGAAAACTCACCACCTCGGTTAGAGTGCAGCCGCAGGACTGGGAGGTCCTGCCGGAACCGAGCGTTAAGCTGGAGACGGGCACTGCGGACATGGGGAAAAACTGTGGTGTAGCGCGTGTAGTCGTCAACAACCAGCAAAAAGTAGCGCTCGCCGCCCTATCCAGTGATGCGGGCGGGGCCCCACACGTCCATGTGGAGGGTCTGCAGAGGAGCAGTGGTAGGAGGAAAGTCGGAGGAGTGAGGAGCGGCGCGCTGCCGCCCCTCAACGCAGGGAAGGCACGGCGGTGCAAGCGACCTCGGGAGCGGGGGCAGGGACCTGGGGTGGCCAGCCACAAGGAGACGGGAGTGCATGCCACGCAGGCGTGGCAAGGAGGGGTGACCAAGACGGTGGTGTCAGAGAAGAGTCTGGTGCGTGAGGAGCCGACACGAACAAGACGCAGCTACCTCAACCGACGCAGCTACCTGACCTGAATCAGCCACCTGTGCAAACTCAGTAGTCAGTGTGTACAGGCCAGACCGGGGCCTCCGAGTGAACGTGGTGAGGTTCTCGCCAGTGCGGGAGTCCGTACAGATCGCCACGCGCTCTCCACCAGGCTGGGTGGTAGTGACCAACTGGTCCTGGAGAACAGCGGTAGCCACCAAGTTCTTGGCGAACGAGGGGAGGTGGAGACCTGTAAGGAGGCCGGATGGGGCTGCCGGACACAGGAGAACAGTGGAGCCACGTGCCACTACTGAAGCACCGGAGGGGTTGGCCAGTGTGCAACGACCGGACCAGACGAGGGGTCAGCCAAAGTGACAGGGACAGGGGTTGTGAGCGGTGTGACTGTGGTGCAGTCGCGGAAGAAGCAGCGAGACGCGCCTGAGTCTAGAGTGAAAGTGTGCAAGGCCTCCTCAGGCACTGCAACGGTGATGGCCGAATCACAAGCACTTAGACTAGCAGCCTCTACACTAGCAGCTCTAGGCACACATAAGTAAGAGTCAACCTCGACACTAGCAGAAGCAGCATACATCGCATACAGGTCAGCATGGATCACAAGCAAACACATCGATGTCCTTTTTAAGCAAGGCTAACCAGACTGGGGTCTTCAGCTGCTCACCATGCTCCACACGATACACGTCGTCGAGGCGAAAGAAGCAGCGAGGCTCCGTATGGTCTGTGCGGCCGCAAGTCGCTCCAGGCTGACCTATGCGGTGGATGTACGGGCAGCGAATAGGGCCACCGGAGCTGCCACGCCGAACCGCCCACTCACGCAGCTCCTGTGACGAGACGGCACTTGTTGACTCACCTGCTGCTGCTGACCACCCCCAGAGCCACTGCCACCACCCGCTGCACCACCAGAAGCAGCAGTACGAGTGGCCGAACCTCCAGCTCCGCCCCCGCCAGCTCCACCCCGAGTGCCACCCCACCCCCTCCACCACCCCCACTGCTCCCACCACCCCCTCCTCCTCCTCCCCTGCCGCCACCACCTCCTCCTCCCCCACCACCACCACCCCCGCCACCACCACCGCTACCCCCGCCACCCCCACCACCCCCACCACCCCCACCCTTGCCACCCTTGCACTTGCCGCTGCGGCGCCTCCCACTAGGAGCAGACGCAGCACCGACCTCCTCAGCACGAAGGGAGTCCACAGCAGCAGCAAAGGCAACAGACGGCGCGAGCATGGAGGGGGGGCACCCCTCAAAGACAGAGGGGAGGCGAGTGCCACGGGAGGCAGCGACAGCAAGGGCAGCGGACTCAACCTCTAAGAGACGGGACTCAAACGAGGCTAGGGTGATCTTCGTGAGGTCTAGAGCGAGAAACTGGTCGCGAACAGCACGAAGGGAGTCAAGGAGGCGGGTCGTGAGGAAGTAATGTCAAACTAGAATTGTTATGGTTTGTATTTGCTAGTCTAGGTGGTGTACACTTATATTTAGGGTTGGCTAGGGTTGACTAGTGTTTGCTAAATCTTCCTTGTCTTTGTCATTTCTAGTCAGTCATTCACCAGTTATTACTTTGACATGGTATAGAGCGATAAGATCCTATGGGCCCACCGCCCCGTACCCTGACCTAACCCGTAGCGCCTTGTCACCCGTAGCGCCTAGTCACTCGTAGCGCCCCCCCGTCGATCCCGTCAGCCCGCTAGCCCCACCCGTCACCCGTCACGACCTACAACAGCCCCCGCGGGCCTGCCAGATCGCGTTAGGAAGGGACCCCCGCGGGTCCCCCCACGTCACGACCTAGAACGGCCCCCGCGGGCCCGTCAGATCGCGCTAGGAAGGGACCCCCGCGGGTCCCCCCACGTCACGACCTAGAACGGCCCCCGCGGGCCCGTCAGATCGCGCTAGGAAGGGACCCCCGTGGGCCCCCCCACGTCACGACCTAGAACGCCCCCCGCGGGCCCGTCAGATCGCGCTAGACCCTCGCGCCCCCCCCCCACGTCGCGACCCCGTTCCCTTCCCGTCGCCTCCCGTCCCCCCCCTCCGAGTCGCGCCCCCGTCGCCCCCCGTCCCCTCCCCGTCGCGTCCCCGTCGTCCTCCCCGTCGCGCCCCCATCGTCCTCCCCGTCGCGCCCCCGTCGCCTCCCGTCCCCTTCCCGTCGCATTCCCCGTCACCTCCCGTCCCGTCCCCGTCGCGCCCCCGTCACCTCCCGTCCCCTCCCCATAGCGTCCCCGTCCCCCTCCGCGTCGCGCCCCCGTCGCCCTCGGGTTTGCATCCCCGTCTCCTCCCGTCCCCATCCCGTCGCCTCCCCGCACCTTGTGCCCGCCGCCCCACCTGAAACCCGTCGCCCCACGAGCTTAACCCGCTGCCCCACGAGCTAAACCAGCCGCCCCACCTGAAACCAGCCGCTAGAAACACCCCAGCAGCGCCAGCAGCGCCAGCAGCCGCTAGAACTGTGCTAGCAGCGTCGGCAGCCGCTAGAACCGTGCTAGCAGCGCTAGCAACTGCTAGGAACGCCCCGGCAGCGCCAGCAACTGCTAGGAACGCCCCAGCAGTGCCAGCAGCTGCTAGAAACGCGCCAGCAGCCCCACCTGTCCCGCCCCACCCTGGGCCCGCCGCCCCACCCTGTACCCACCGCCCATAATCGCCCATAACTGCCCAGGACAGCCCAGAACCGGCCAGAACCGGCCAGAACCGTCCAGATCCGTCCAGAACCGCCCAGAACCGCCCGGAACCGCCCATAACCGCCCAGAACCGCCCAGAACCGCCCAGAACCGCTCCCCACCGCTCTTGACCCACCAGAACCAGCATCAGCTTGGACTGCCACCAGAACCAGCAGCAGCATAGGCTGCCCCCCAGCAGAACTTGCAGCAGCATAGGCTGCCCCCTGCAGAACCAGCAGCAGCATAGGCTGCCCCCTGCAGAACCAGCAGCAGTATAGCCTGCCCCCAACAGCAACAGCAACAGCATAGGCTGCCCCCAGCAGAACCAGCAGCAGCATAGGCTGCCCCCAGCAAAACCAGCAGCATAGGCTGTAGCCAGCAACCCTCCTAGCCGCTCCCCACCGCGCTCTGCCGTCTCTAGTGCCTACCATGGCGTGTGTTAGAGTTCTGCAGCAGCAGCAGGGTCAACCGCAGCGACGGCAACTACAGCACTCCCGGCAGTGGGGACCTGAGGGCCCTAGGAGTACCGGCTGCAGTAGTGGCTCAGCTAGTCGTGGGCGCGACGTCGGTCCCTGCGGGTACCGGATCCTGACTGGCCCGGATGCTGGCACCACCCGCTGGAGTCCTGACCACTCTGCGTCCAGCTGCTACCGCGACTCGAAGACCTCCACCGTGAGCGTTTTGGCCCTCACGCTATTACACCGCACTGGCCCTCGCGTCTTCGCCAGCGCACTGCTGCACCAGTTGAGTCTCACCTACCTGGTCTAGGACCTTTCCCGGCTGCACGAGTAGAGACCTGTGTTTCCAGTCTTGGTGCGTGTGTTGTTTCCAGTCCAGGCGCCTCTGAGGATCTTTGTTTAGGAGTTGCAGCTACCACTAGTCTAGCACCAGCCTTTGTCGCTGGCTCGGGTGCGACCTCATAGACTGCACAGCTTTCCTTCACCCTCGACTCTGGTGCATCCAGCTGTTTCTTTCGCGACTGTACTGACCTCGCACTACTGCGCACTCCAGTCACTGTCGCCTTGGCTGACCCTTCTGTGGGACCTATAGTTGCTCGCAGCACCACCACTCTCCCGTATCCGGCGGCTCCCTCTGGGTTTCTCACAGGTTACTACACCCCCTCGTTCTCCAGGAACCTGGTGGGTGTCAGTCACCTCCACGACCTAGGTATAGTCACTACTTTCCCAGTCGACGAGCCTATTGCCTCCTGCACACTCGGTACCACTGGGGCCCCTTTGGCCACTTTTCACAGGGAGCCGGGCTCTGGTCTGTACTCACTACACACTAGGTCCCACCACACTTGGTCAGGTCAGGTCAGGTCAGGACAGGTAGCTGCTGTGTCGTGTGACTGTCGGTCCCTCACCCACCCGTCGGTCCTCTAGCACCACCTTCAGGGTCACCCGTCTTTCCCGCGTCTCAGTAGGATGGCACGTTACCGTCTGGTCTCAGGTCTCCCAGAGTCGCTAGCCCCGCTTCCTCGCTCGCTTGCGCCGCCGTGCACTCCTTGCGTCGAGGGCCGGCAGTGCGCTGCCCCTCACTCCTCCTCGTCCCCCCCCACCACGGCTCCTTTCCAGACCCTGCACTTGGACGTCTGGGGCCCCTCCCCGGTCCTTGGACCACGTCAGGAGCGCTACTTCCTGATTGTGGTGGACGACTACTCCCGCTACACCACGGCTTTCCCTTTTGCGACGGAAGGCCGACGTGCCTACTGTCCTCGAGCCGTGGCTACTAGCGTGGGGTGGCGTCGAGGGCCTTTGTGGGCTCCGCCTCCACTCGGATCGTGGTGGTTAGTTTTCTTCCACTCGCATGGAGGCGTTCTGTTAGGGTCGGGGGATCATCTAGTCTTACACGCTACCAGCCTCGCCGCAGCAGAACAGGGTAGCCGAGCGACGCATCGGCCTGGTCATGAAGGTTGCCCGGACCTCCATGTGCCATGCCGGTGCCCCCCAGTTCTTGTGGCCTCAGGCAGTCCGCTACGCCGCGCACCAGCTGAACCTGTGGCCCAGTGACGCACGGCAACGGGTGACGCCGGTCTCCCTTTGGACAGGTTCTCCGGGTGTAGCAGCTGACTGCCGTGTCTGGGGTTCTCTGGCTCACGTTCGCGCCCCTGGCGCGAACAAGTTGTCTCCACGCACTCGTGCCTGCGTCTTTCTTGGCTTCCCTTTGGACGCCTCCGGCTGGGTGTTCTACGACCCGGTCACCTACCAGTTCTTCGCCTCTCAGGACGTCACGTTCGACGAGTCTGTCTGTTACTACAAGAGTCGCCCCCACCGAGGTACTGAGGTCTTTTCCCCCCCGCTGTTCCCCACCCTTGAGCCCCCCCCAGTCGCCCCGGTAGCCCCCCCCCCTTCGCGTCCTGCCCCGTCAGGTGTGTCGCACGTCACTCCACAGTCGCCCCCCCCACAGGGTCTAGTCCCTGTCGTGTCTGGGGGTGCGGGAGGTGCAGTTGCGGAGGGTGAGGGTACTGGGGCTGCTGGAGCTGGTGGTGTCGGCTCTGGGGGTGCAGCGGGTGTGGGTGTGGAGGTCACTCCCGTGGAGGACACGGCAGTCTCGACTCGGCAGCCTCGCCCCGCGTCACCCCCTGGCTTCCCGTCCGTCCCGCAGTTCCCTCCTTGTTCTTCTCTGCGGTCAGTTGCTGCAGAGCCTGGGGGTGTTCCTGCGGGAGGTACTAGAGGCTCCGGGGGTGTCGGTGGTGGAGGTGTTGATTCTGGGGGTGCTGGAGCTGGAGGCACTGGCACTGTGGCGCCTACACCGCGCACTGTACGTTTCCTGATCCGTGAGCAGCGTCTCCTCCGGTTGGAGAGGGAGGAGCGTGAGCGGTTTGAGAGGGCACAGCAGCAGCAGCAGCAGCAGCAGCAGCAGCAGTAGGAGCAGGAGCAGTCTCAGTCTCAGTCGTAGTAGCAGGAGAGAGTAGAGGAGGAGTCACAGCAGAAGCAGGGACAGTTGCAGCCGCAGCAGGAGAGAGTAGAGGAGGAGTCAAGAGTGCAGCAGCGGGTGCAGTTGCAGTCGCAGCAGGAGAGAGTAGAGGAGGAGTCACGGCCGCACCAGGAGAGGGTAGAGCAGGAGTCCCGCCCGCAGCAGCAGGTGCAGTTACAGACACAGCAGGAGAGAGTAGAGGATTAACGGCTGCAGCAGGAGAGGGTAGCGCAGGAGTCCCGGTCGCAGCAGCGGGTGCAGCTGCAGCCGCAGCAGGAGAGGTCAGAGGAGGAGCCACAGGAGCAGCAGCAGGGGCAGGTACCGTCGCAGCAGACGCCAGAGGAGGCGGAGCGGCAGCGACTGCGACTGCGCGACCTGCCCGACCCAGCACCTGCACGCTTGGTTCGTGGTCCCCTACTGTCCCCTCCTGTTCCCCCCGTCCAGTCTCTTTTCTCATCCTAGTGGACTCGTCGTTCTCCCCTCAGTCGTGCTATCGGTCCCGTTACCGTGCAGACGGTCCGTTTCACCTTATTCTCCGCTCACGTGCTCCACCTCCTCCTGTCCTCCCACAGCCTCCAGATTCGTCCCTCACTGTGTTTCACGACCCGTTGTCCGACTACCTCCGTGCCTCTCGTCCTGTCGTCTCCTGTGTTTTGTCCGCGTTGGTCACTCACCCGACTGCACCTCTGTCGTCTGTCTCGGCACTTGTTACCACTGTCGCGGGCATTGCCTCTTCCCACTGCCTTAACTACGCCGCTCACTTGGTGAGTGGCCCTGCTCGTTCTCCGTTCTCTGGGGGTGCTCCTGTTTTTCCCCTGGAGGTCCTTGAGGACAGTTCGAGATTGGCTTCCTTGCGGCCGCTGTTCCTCATCTCTGCCATGCTGCTTGTCCCTGAGGGGGATCCAGACGCCCTTGACATCCCGATCCCTCGCAATCACGCTGAGGCGGTCTCGGGACCCTGGGCTTCGTACTGGATAGCAGCTGAGGAGGCAGAGATGGCATCTTATAGGTCCACAGACACCTACGTCGACGCCGTCCCACCACCTGGGGCGAACGTTGTCAGTGGCATGTGGCTCTACAAGGTGAAGCTGCCGCCTGGAGCACCACCGGTGTTCAAGGCGCCCTACGTGGCGAGAGGCTTCAGTCACTGAGAGGGGGTAGACTTCTTCCAGACCTTTGCTCCCACCCCGAAGATGACCTCGCTTTGGGTGTTGCTGCATATTGCAGCTCAGCGCGGCTACGAGTTGCACTCCTTAGACATCTCCACCGCGTTCTTACAGGGGAGCCTGCACGAGCAGATCTGGCTGCGTCGCCCGCCTGGCTTCACTGGCTCTTTCCCTCCTGGGACCCAGTGGCAGCTGCATCGACCGGTCTACGGCCTGCGCCAGGCTCCCCGCGAGTGGCACGACACGCTACGTACGACTCTTGCAGTGCTTGACTTCTTTCCGTTGTCTGTCGACCCGTCGTTGTTCGTCCGCCGTGGCTCGACCCCATTCTCTGTTCTGGTCTACGTTGACGACCTGGTCTTCGCCACTCCCGACCGACGCGCACTGGCCTCCGTGAAGGAGGAACGACAGAGGAGACACACTAGCACTGGCCTTGGTGAGCTGCAGCGCTACCTTGGCCTGCAGATCACCAGGGACAGGGCAGCTCTCACCATTACGCTGACGCAATCGCATATGGTCGAGCAGATGCTCTCGCGGCTTCGATTCCCGTTCTCCAAGGTACATCCCACCCCTCTTGCTGTGGATCATGGGCTCACGGCTCCACCTTCGGACGAGCCATTTGAGTCCAGTGTTCCATATCCTGAGCTGGTGGGTTGTCTCATGTAGCTGATGACCTGTTCTCTCCCTGACCTAGCTTACCCTCTTAGCGTCCTTGCGCGCTTTGTTGCGCCTGTGAGACACCGACCTTCCCACTGGTACGCTGCTAAGAGGGTGGCGAAGAATGTGGCGAGTACATCAGGCATGGGACTTGTCCTTGGAGGGAAGCAGCCAGTTACACTTACTGTCAAACTTATATGCTATAGTCTGTGTAGGCTGTAGTGGGGTAGTTCATATGGGGTACAACACTTCTAGGTTTTCCTACTTGTACCCACATGTTTGCTAGTTCATTCACTCCTCGCTTTTACTTTCACATGGTTTCTTAGCAGGTTCCCTAGTG